GGTCCTATTGGCTTCATCAGATCCTGATCTCCAGCTCTCACTGGAGCGGTTCACATTAATCAGTTTAATTAATTGATTTAATTAAAAATCTGTAAAGGAAAAAGAGATCTGTGATCTCTGTAAGGTTTGCCTGGTTAATTAAATAAATAAATAAATGTTTTATTTAAAACCTGACACACGTCTGACAGTCAAACAGCTAAATGTTTAAAGTTGCATGGCGCTGATATGTGAGTGTTCTGAAGAGAATGTTTCGTCACTCTGAGGTCATCTTGGTTCTCGGGGCTGAAGGATGTCAGGCATCCGGAGCGAAGGAKGTCAGGCATCCGGAGCCACGCCCTRCCAGGTGTCGCCTGTGGCGTTCCACTCAGCCACTTGTATAAACAGACCAATTTCACTGCTGGGTGACCGTTCAGCTGGTTAAAGACAATCGTTGAGAAGAACGGTTACCCACAATGCACTGCTTTGATTTATAAGTACACAGAACAAGCTCAGCTCTGTTGGAACAGATGTGACAGCAGCAACATCTGCAGTGATTTATGTGGTTTWACCAACTTGAAGGTGCAGTTGTGAAACATCACCTGAGATCAAAGTCTGAGAAGTTTTCTGACGAAATCTGTTGAACTGAAACAGGTCCAAACTAATACTGAAAATATGAGAAATAAATCTTTCTGCTGCTGAGAAAACCCTCTAAGGTTTGATCTGAAACGTGAAAAATAATTTAATAAAACTTTTCTGCTGAAACAGCTGAGCTCTGAATCAAAACCTAAAGGAGCTGAAAATGAGATTTTAAAGCTAAAAGAAGCAGAACACAAGCTAAAAGCTAAAAGAAACTAGATGAATCTAGCAAGAGAGAATGTAAAGGTTAAATCTATCAAAGACTAGCTAAAGGCTAAATGTAGCAAAACACTAGCTAAAATCTAGATGTAGCAAATGGCTAGCTAAAAGCTAAAATTAATGAATGGCTGGAGAAAAAGCTAAAACTGTAACTTGAAGCAGCAAAAAAGACTTAGAGAATGGACCGAACTTATATAGAGCTTTATCAAGTCCTGCTGGAACCCACAGAGATTTACACTTCAGTCACACACACACACACACACACACACACTGGTGATGAACACCTACAGGGGTTAGACAATGAAAGTGAAACAGCTGGTTTTAGACCTGAACATCTCTTTCAGACAGCTTCCTGTTGTGTCCACAGTTAATCCTGTTGGATGTGGTTGGTCCTTCTTGGTGGTCTGCTGACATTACCCTGGATACTGTGGCTCTTGATACATCACAAAGACTTGCTGTCTTGGTGACAGATGCTCCAGCAAGACGTGCACCAACAATTTGTCCTCTTTTGAACTCTGGTATGTTACCATAATGTTGTGTGCATTATAATATTTAGAGCCAAACTGTGCTCTTACCCTGCTAACTGAACCTTCACACTCTGCTCTTACTGGTGCAATGTGTARTTAATGAAGACTGACCACCAGGCTGGTCCAGTTTAACCATGAAACCTCCCACACTAAAATGACAGCTGTTTCAGTTTCCCTGACTAACCCCTGTATRTTGTAGCCACAGCTGGCACATCTGGAGAAGATCTTCAGTGTTTTCCATGATGGACACAGAGAGGGTAGCTAGACTAACAAAAAGCCCTATCTCTGTTGAGCCATGTATCCCTATTACTCTAAGTGGTGATGACTTCATGAGATTCTTTATAGATAAAATAATTTTAATAAGGAATACAATTCATGCCAAACTTCCTGCTACTGTCTCTGATTCTCTGTCAGATGAGGCAGCTTTAGTGCCACTAGAACCTGATTTATGTCTGGACAGTTTTTGGCCTGTTAAGCTCT